ATAATATATACCATCTTCTGCAATCAAATTTATATTTCAGGAGCGTTACGATGGTTGTTTCGGGATATGACAAATCGCTTCCTGAGGATGATGTCAAGAGATTGCTGAGTGAACTTTTTTCTCCATGTGGAGAGATCACTAAAGTTTACATTCCCACACGCGTTCGAAGGGTGACTGGTCGTCGCAACAAGTTTGCGTCTTCTTCCTCCAAGCTAGCTCGAATTGACAATAGTCACAACAAGTTTGTGTTTCTTCTTCTTCCTCCAACTTTCCCCAAATTTTCCCAGCTATATAGCTTCATCAAGAGTTATATAATTAATAATACTGCTAACTAAAAACATGTTTTCTTGTCTGTTTACATCACCGGAGAAGGCGCAGAAGAGAAGCCGTTGCAACTTAATGGAAGTGACGTGGGAGGACTCAATGTAGTTGTTAAGGTTATGCCGCCTTCGACTGAATACTGTAAGGTTACTCCTGATATGTATGTTCATAGGGCCGAAAGCTACGAGCAAGAACGCATAACCCCCACGTAAGTCGATTTTGAATCTGTTAGACGTGTTTTTTTTTTTTTTTGCTGTCGATTAATTTATCATCTCTCTTCCGAACTATTGCAGTATCAATCTTGTTACGGTTACGGGATATGACACTTTGCTTCCTGAGGACAATGTCAGTAGCGCTCTGCGTAGACATTTCGCTTCATGTGGTGAGATCAGTCGTGTTTCTATCGACATAGACAGAAACGGAAACGGTGGTGGTCTCAAATAAGTTTGTGGCTTCTTCTCCTTCTTCCAATTTTGTGACTTAAGTTATCTTCTCAACTTGTTATTAAATGGTAATAACTGGAGACTTGTGCTTTTGTTTGAATGTTTTTACAGCACAGTCGTTCTTCATATTGCGGGACTGAGAGATGTCGTAGCAGAGAAGGCGTGGGCGCTTAGTGGATGTGACATGGGAGGATGGAATGTACATGTTGTGCATTGTCCTGCACCGAGAGAAATCAAGTTCGACCATGTTTTTGTCGGGCCTAGGCCGGCTGTGCGTTGTTCTGCACCGAGAGAAGTCCCTCATGGTGAGGAGAAATCTCTCGCTCTCTCTCAAGGCTCTCTGTGAGAAGATGAAGAATAAGACTAAGGAGTAGAAAGCTCTCTCCTTGGTGTTCCTAACTTTTGGACAACCTTTTTTTTTTTATCTCCTGCGTCTTTTATTTTATGTTTAATACTACTGTCTGGAGCTTTAAATTGTAATGACCTTATAACCTAAATATGTCCTGGATGTTTTAAATTAAGCTTAATAATCATCGTTATCTGCCAAGTTTGAGCCCTGTACAGTTGCGATTGATTAGGTTGACCAACTATCTACTCTCTCCTCTAACTTAATGGTTGGCTCAAGTGAAATAGAGGATTATTGTAACTCAAGACTGAGACTTTAGCTAATTGTCTTTGCTCCCAAATTCTATTTCCATCGAGCATTCTTTTGCCCTTTTGGGGTTAGACCCAAAAACAATGAGTTCTCAATGGGAACAATGAGGAAACAGTACTAAACAAGGAGACCAAAACACTTTGCAAGTTGTCACTTTGGTTGGTCTGTCTGTACTATAGTTTATGGTTTTGACAAATTTGTTAGTTTCACAATCCAAATTTTCTCCCAGTAGTCATGGCCAAGAACAAAGAGAGCCCTCAACATGGTTCCTTGAGCAAACCAGTAGAGAGAAGCCAACTGTTGAAGTAAGCAGCCAGCTACAACAGCCAATCCGAAAACGATACCCAACAATGCTTGGGTACAGCTGCCCTTATATCCGTCAAATGTGAATCTGCTAATCTTTGCTCAAAGGTTAATCTGCTAATTAACAGCCATTAGAGTAGAAATAACCAAATCCTGTTTTCACAACATAGTTGTCTCAATTGAGGGAAAAAAAAACACCCTATCGATTTCACTAATATGCGTACTTGGTAACAACATTCGTAACAAAGCTATTGCCGAAGTTGAGATCTTGCACTTCGATTTGATCTTTCCCACTGCTGCTGCTTTTAGAGCTGTCAATTGGGCTTGCCCGCGACCAATTAGGCATGCTCGAGTGAACAATTTTTTTTTATGGGCTATATATGGTCCAGCCCATATGGTCAGCGGATAAATATGGTCTTGGCCCATCTGGACAAAAGACAAAACCATTTGGACATGGACCGTCCAACTTATATATTAATTTTTATATTTTGTTATTTGATTTATGATTCATTTTTTGCATATTTCTAAATTACTAGTTTTTTTATTTGTAACTAAAAGT